AATTAGAAATTTCGGAATAACATGGAATCTATGAAAGAAAATGAATATCAAATAAACATACAGCCAGACATTGTCTGATATCTTTGTTTGGATTAAGCAGCAATTTTGCATTGTTTACAATTCAAATTGAACTAGTCTGTCCTTTTTTAAATTGTAAATAAGCAGTCTCAAGTTTTTATTTGACAGGTATACCTGAGAAAGAATTTGAACAAAGAAAAAAACGAAGCCTATATTAACATTGAATATTGAAAAAGTTGCCTGCATTAGGCATTGCATGGCTAGATCGAGTGTTTGCTTGTGCCAGTTGTGGGTTCAAATCCTGTCGTGGTGCTTTAGATCAGACCATATAAACCAAGGTCCGGTGTCGCAGTAGATGCTGGCACAGAAAAGATACTTCACTACTCAATGGCACTGAGTGCCATGTATCTGTATAGCAGCTCTCCTGCTGAAAGCAGTGACATAGGAGCAAAAATTCTCCAGAGGGACATTATAGAAGAACAAACTAACAATTTGGAAAAGACTGCATGTTGGGTTAATTGATGTGATTTGAAAGAATCAAACATCAAATTTGAATATGCCACTGTAAGACACCACTTTCTTTTAACAACATGTTTTGTTCTGTAAATAATAGTCATTAACAGTGAAGTATCAATATAACTTTCTAAGTTCCTGTCTTTATCTAAAATTTTGATTTTTAAAGCCATTAAGAAAATAGGACATAGTTTTTTTTTTTATTTCTCTTGCTCCTTTATGTTCTGTATTATAGTACCATGTTTGATCTGTAAGCCATACTGGACCTGACAAGCTGGTAAATACACTCTCCAAATTTATTATATTTAAACAGTTGACCCCCAAACACCCAAAGATAAACAAATATACCCTCTTAGGGGAACATATTTCGAACCTTTCATTTTTCAAGAACTCTAAAATTTCTAATGAACATACTGCAAAGAAGTGTTAGGTGTGTAATTACTGTATTTTCGCAGGCCTTAAATTTTTTAAAGTCACCTACAGAGTACGGTACTATATTGGTGTCATGTTTATGTGCAGTTTCAATTTAGAAAAAAAGAATATTTAAGCTGAAAGATGTTTATCCTATTTAAAAATGTATCTATAAAGCCCATTTTAAAATAATGTTTGCATACCCTCTCAAGACTATGAGTAAAAAATTCGGTTGATAGGTAGGTAGGGAAATTTTTTTTCCAGAAAATTTCAATACACATGTTGACAGGGGAATTTAGAAAATCCAGGAATGAAAATAAACAATTGGTGTTTCCTGGATAAGTTTTAAAAAGTTTTAAGTCTGGCCATTTTTAGCCAGTGGGTCAGGAGAGGGCATGCAAACAAACATTTTTTAAAAGATAGGTTAAGAGTATAAACTAATTGATTTCATGACGAAAGAATGTTTTTTTCGATGCAGAAACCAGGTGCAATTATCCCCATTGGCAAGCTTAGTTATAATTCTATTGAAAAATGAGTCTATTGAAAAATGAGCATGGACAAAATTTAAAAAATCCAAAAAAAGTTACTTTAGTTCTTTAAACTTTCTAGTGTTGGAGATCGTGTGTAGATCATTCTGAAGTATAATTTTGGGAAAAGGTTCATAAAAAAGGGTAGAAATAAAGGCCATGATTTGTGTACCATGATTTAATATTAATAAGAACTCTTTCCATAGTTACGACAACAGAGCGCCCGGCAACTTCCAATGGACAGCGAGCTCTAAGTCGGTAATTAAGTAGATCAAATACAGTTGGTATGTACAACGAAAATGTGTGGAATATATATAACCCTAGGTTTTTATAATAGAACAGCTATTAACCTTTCTTCACATGATTTACAATTTAAATTTGTTTGTTTTTTTAAACCCTGCAGACCTGAACTTGTGTGTTCCAGAGTAGTGATTGAGTTAACAGTCAGTTTTTATGTGATTTTTATGTCTTTTTTTTTTTAAAATCCTTATCATTGACAGTGTGATGGAAACCAGCCAAGAGAGCGATCTTGGCTGCATGTTTTTATACATGTATAAAAATTTATATGAAAGGTCTTACTAAAAATGACAATGGCGTATTGTGCACACTTGATATTGATATTATGGTCTGATATCAGGCTTGGGGTTTACTTTGAATTACTTTGAAATGTAATTAATTACTTTCAAATACATTGATAATTTTGTCAATTACTTGCAATTACAATTACATTGATTTTTTTCAAAAGTAATTAATTACTTTCAATTACTTTGACAAATGTAATTAAATACATTTCAATTACTTAAAGTTTTTTTATATATAAAAAAAAGAATTTTTTTTTAAATACATGTATGCTATTATTAGCTGCTCTAGTAGACCTTTATAATGAATCTTCTCACGTATTAAGAAAAATTTTTTGGCAGGTTGTAAAAAGAAGGTTTTCTTCTATTGAAACAGAATTGACACTCTGTCATCTAAGTCTTTTCACTAACCAGAATGATTGAGTTTGCCTGTATTAGAATTGAGATTCTTCCTTAAAGAAAGTTTATTATACTGAGGTTCGCTCATGATCCGAAAGTTGTTGATCTGAATTCTTTGAAGTTGATCTTGTATGGAACTAATTTGTCAAGATCATATAAAGATGTACGTTTAGCATCTTTGTGATAAACTTTTAAAAGTACAGTCAAAGTTCAAAGCATTGATAATGGTTTATAACACAAAAAATGTGTATTTCATTTAAGGATCCTCTTTATAGCTGCTCACTAAAGAGTTAACATTCTGTGATATTTTTATGTAGTAAGAGTGGCTTGTGCATTGCCGCTGATCTTAACATTAAAATGAATTGAAATTACAGTGTAATTTATTGTACTATTCAATTTGGAATTCAATCATTCAAGAAGTTTTCTTCTAAATGATTTAATGGGCCAAGATGAATTGAATGAATACTTTATATTTACATGTACACGAATTTTTGCAATTTGATTTGTGTTTTCCTTGCTTTTGTGTCTTCAAACATTATATCTAATTTGAAAATAAAATAGATCAACTTAATGTTTATGCATTTACATGTTCAGGATGTGATCGGATTTTTTTGTTTGTTTGTGTATAGAAGGTTCATAAATTCTTTAATGCATGATGGGGTTATCAGTCTATGCTAGGCAAGCATACCCCCACCCCCACCCCACCCATCCAACCCCACCAAAAATATATAAGAAAGAAACAAAGATTCTTTAGAACATTGTTTTTCCCAGAGAGATAATGTTTTGAAATTACAGGGTAGTGTTTAATAAATAAGCTGATACTTTTATGAAATCAATTTTAAATAGCCAAATGCAATTCATTTACAATGCACTTAGCTTGTTTGAAATATTTTAATTTCAGTGACCTAATTTCCTCCCATTATTCATTATTAGGCAGGTTCAACACACATTGTGGGTTTCTCGTCTGTAGACAAAACTTCAGAGGTGATTAGAATTGTTATAGGCTTTTTAACCTGTCGGGGTTTAAAATGCTTGAAAATAATTCAATTAAAACTGAATTTAAAGGTCCATAAAAATTAATCTGTTTTGTAAATTTAAAAAGGAGGAAGGGATATTTAACCTTATATCTTGTTAGGCAGAAAGATAGTTTAAAGCTAATGCATGAATGGGAAAAGTGCTTGAAAGGTTTGCTGAATTAAATGTCCAATAAAAATAGACTCAAGTTGAAAACTCCTAGAATAAAATTGTCGTTAGATTATTTTATGAACATGATGAAATATATGTCTCTCCTAGGATTAGTGTCAATTTACTTTTTTTCATTATCGGTTTTGCAAAGTCATTAAATTTGTTCAAACTTTTCTTTTGTGCAAAGCCAACTTCAATTTTTACTTTCCTGAATTTATTAATACATTTTCCTAATCATTTTTGGGAAGTGCACTTAAAGCTTGAGATGGTGTTTTATGTTATAATGTAAAATTTTGTACTTCAACCATTATCATGATTATAGTACCGAAATTCCCAAAGTTTTTTTTCTTCTCTTTTGTCAGCAACTAACCTTAAATGAGGTCCGCTCTGCTTCCTGATGTTGTAAACAACATTTGTCCAAACTCCAGTTATCTGTAGCCACACCACTGTTCATAATAAAATCACCTCAAATTCTTCACAGTTGTCTATCCTTGAAAACATCCCTTTGTTTCATATAATTATGATATAATCTTATTTTGTATTATCCCAATGTAAGAGAACATTTTTAATTATTCTTTCCACATATGTTCAATGTATATTTCATAAGACAGGGCTGCAGCATCAATCTTTATGTATAGGCATATTTATGATACATCAGACTAATGAGTTAAAACACTAATTTGTACATAAAGTCATTTTTCATTGACTATTGGTTAATTTGTAAACAGGGAGTCACAGCCTGGCGGACAGCTCCACCCAGAGGAATGGACACGGACAGGACAGCACAGTCAGCGTGGACGAGACCACGGACAGCGGACGGCCACACTCTGTGTTCGCCCCCGAGATGTCACAAGTCGACGAAAACTCCGAAAAGGATCTCAACGAAGGAGGTATGCTAGTGTCATTCTTCATGATTTTAAGAGATTATTACAGTAAAACTCACTCAGTCCGAACACCGATATTGCGAATTCAGGGATATAGCAAAGTTATTTTGAATCCCCATTTTTATAAATTTAACAAATTCCTTATAAGGATAAAACGAATATAGCAAACTAATTTCACAGGTCCCAATGAGTTTTTTTTATAATCGAGTTTAACTGTAAAACTTCCTCCAATTTTGTTTTGTTTTGGCATCTGGGCAAATTTCAGATGGTTGAAATCAAGAAGAGGGCATTACTATGTTATTTTTTATTAACTCAACTGTGTGAGAGTGCATGAATTCAAAAAAGGGAAAAAATGTTTCCAGCTGCTTAAAAGCAAAAAGAAAAAAACATAAGTTGATAATAACCCTGCATGAACATAGTATACCATTTTTTTCCTATTCTTTCTACAGACGATGAAGCTGAGCTGGCGGGTTATTTAGGACACGATGACTACATCCGCTCTATCCTCACGGTGGAGTTCCCTCCCTTTTACTTCTCCACCCCTTTTATCTCGACCCAGCACTCCAAAGGAAGAGGACCAGCCAAGGTTAACTCAGTTGTTATATTACATTACATTGTTATTACATTGAATAAAATTTTAATCTCCGTGCTAAAAAATAATTAATCTTGAAAAAACTTTCTTCATCAGACCTTAAATACATGAACATGTATTATTATAGTCATAGCCCTGCAGATATTTAAAACTCAACTTGGCATAAGAAAAAGGTTGAGAAGTCCCAGGATTTAAGATATTGAGATTAAAATACATCAAAAAATGGTTGGGACTTCAAACTAATTTAGAATAGATATGAAAATTTAAAATATAAAATTTTATGACAACTGTAATTAACATAGGAATACTAAAACAAGAGGCCCATGGGCCACATCGCTCACCTGAGAAGCTTTGACCATTCTGTTCCCTACCAGATTTCCCCCTTGTTATACATAATGCATCCCCACCCTACCCCACTGATCATAATTATGAACATTTTGAAATCTACACTACCCCATGATCCTTCCATGGGCACATATGTTTCAGCTTTTTTGGCCCAGTGGTTCCCGAGAAGAAGATTTTCAAAGATTTTTCCTATTTATTTCTATGTAAAACTTTGATTCCCTATAATGGCCCCGCCCTTCTCCCGGGGGTCATGATTCCTAAAATTTAGAATCTACACTACACCAGGATGCTTTCACATAAGTTTCAGCTTTTCTGGCTCAGTGGTTCTTGAGAAGAAGATTTTCAAAGATTTTTCCTATTTATTTCTATATTAAACTTTGATTCCCCATTGTGACCCCGCCCTTCCCCCGGGGGTCATGATTTGAACAATTTAGAATCTACGCTACCCCAGGATGCTTCCACATAAGTTTCAGCTTTACTGGCCCAGTGGTTCTTGAGGAGAAGATTTTCAAAGATTTTTCCTATATATTTCTATATAAAACTTTGATTCCCCGTTGGGGCCCCGCCCTTCTCCCGAGGGTCATGATTTGAATAATTTAGAATCTACACTACCCCAGGATGCTTCCATATAAGTTACAGCTTTACTAGCCCAGTGGTTCTTGAGAAGAAGATTTTTTAATGACCCAACCCTATTTTTGTCTTTTTCTTGATTATCTCCCCTTGCGAGGGGATATGTCCCTTCATTTTAACAATTTAAATTTCCCTTCACCCAAGGATGCTTTGTACCAAGTTTGGTCAAAATTGGCCCAGTGGTTCTTGAGAAGAAGTCGAAAATGTGAAAAGTTTACAGACGGACAGAGAGACGGACGGACAGACAGCTAGACAGACAGACGGACGACGGACAAAATGTGATCAGAAAAGCTCACTTGAGCCTTCGGCTCAGGTGAGCTAAAACGGAATACTATACTATTAGTAATGTGTCTGGCAGGTATTATCAGCTGATTGAGAAAGCTATAGAACCCAACATGATCAGTCCGGTGGAGACAGAGACAGTCCAGGGAATCTTTGAACTGGTTCCTAAAACCCTCCGACAAGCGGTGCCAAGTGCCAAACGCAGGTTTCTCAGGGTAGGTTTACATAGATAAAGGTTTTTAAGGTTATTGGATAGATTTGTATTTCATTAAACAATTTTTAATGTTATTTTATTTCCTCTTCAATTTGGGTTATAGATATGAAGTTCAGATAAAAAAGTAGATATGCAGGAAGTCAGATACTGAAAATTATTGTAAACCAACCGTTATTCGGGTGCAAGAAAATTTCAAGAGGTTCACGAGAGCCTCGACTTCGCAAGTATTTCTTGCTGAGAACCCTTCTCTTTTTATGTTTATGATGGATCAAAAAGAGGCTTCATTGCGAAAATGAATCGTCGCGAACTAGTTTACCCCCTATAAATCACGAAATAAAGTAATTGAGAATAAATGTTGGTTTACGCTCAGCAATCTTTAAGATCTATTGTCCAGCAAAGTCTAAGTATGACAGTAACATGTACACCATACAAAAAGAGTAGAAACTTGTTCATCATTGAAAAGAAAAAGGAATAATTTAGTTATGGGATGGGGGTGTTCCTGAAATGAATATGAAGAATATTTTTATCTTGTAGGAAATGGAGGAGGATAGAAGATTAGCCCTGAAAAAAGCCATACTTGACTACATCTTACAGGACTCAGCAGAACAAGACAGACTCGGGGTCCCCATACCTGTCAAGGTGAGCAAGCTAAAAATCTAAAAGTAAGAGGGGGAGGGGACTTAGTGGACCAGGAGAGACTAGGGGTCCCTGTACCTGTTAAGGTGAGCTAGCTAAGTAAAGGGGGGGGGGCTCAGTGGCACAGGACAGGTCCCCATGCCTGTAAAGGTGAGCAAGCTTACCAAAAGGCTGTGTGTGTTTGGGGTGGGAGGGGAAACACTGAAGAACAGGTGAGACTAGGGGTACCAATACCTGTCAAAGTGAGCTAAGGGGGGAAGGGGGGTGGGGGGGGGGGGAGTCGAACAAGGAAGACTGGGATACTACCGATACATCTTGGAATTTTTTTTTCCAAAAAGAGACGAACTAGGCATCTTTTAGTTTCATTTGTTATATCTCAAGTTGTAACTCTGAAGAAAAGAATCCTCATTTTGCCAGAGTATCTGACATATATGAACCTGCATGTAAATGGCCTTATTTACATTTTGTGGATTTTGTGTCTGTTGCAGCCCTCTAACTCGGCAGGCAGACACCAGTACCCCTGGCATGAGATGGTCAACAGAACCCGAGATTTTATGAAGAGCGACCTGTTTATTACCCACCCAGTCATGAACACCATTCTGTATCACTTCCAAACAAAGTATGTACATAATATTGAAAGTGATAGGAAAATTAAAAAGGCAATTGTTTTGCCTTATTTTTAACAAATGAATCTTCTACAATAGAATCTGACTTAAATTAAGATATAACATTGAATTAAGCTAGATATCTGACTGCACAACATTGGAGTTAGACAAGTTGCAGGCTTCACAATACAGTGTTTTTCGTCTTTCAGATATGGAGATTTCAGGCTTATTGATATTCCTCATCTGAGAGAGGTAATGCCACTAACCATGGTAAACTTCTACAAAAATGTCAAACAGTCCAGCTTGGCTGCCGCGGAGAGGCTGCGGTACGAGTGGCTGCCGGAGGTGTGTGAGATCGTGGATAGTCACCGCGACACAGTGGAGGACTGGATGCCACAGGATTCAGTAAGTTAGAAGGGTGGATCTAAGATTTTTGATGCACTGGGATTCAGTAAGTTTGAAGGAAGGTCTAAGGTTTGTGAAGTTGCAGCTAGGACTTAATAAATTTGAAGATATTTTTTGTATCAAATAATACCATTTTGATGGGTTCTTTAGCATTCTTGATCATAATTATTTCTTTCATATTAAATGAACAATATATTGCTTAAATAACAGATTAATGAACATGAGAATTTTTGTTTCAAACTGATGTTTTGCAAGTTAGAATATTTTCTAAGGGTGTGCTATATTGCACCCAAGATACCTGTATTTCAATGGACTGAAGTTAGAGAGAATGTTTTTGTTAACAATTCAAAATACTCTCTTTGTAAAGTACATGTAATAAATTGAGGGCGTATATTACACATGCTTCTCTCTAAAAAGATTCTGTAACCCTTTTTTTTTTAAACTGCATATAAATGCATATGACACTTTTGATTAATGTGTCAAAGGTCGTCCAAATTTGACTTATTCTTTATTCTGCAGTGACATGTTTAATCATAACCCATTATTCACTTATAAAAGTTGGCTATTCAGATGATAGATTGGAGGCCTTGCAATTGATTAATGGTCATTTTTTTTGTCAGTCTTAAGTGTTGCTCAAATATTGCTGGAATCAAAATTATACCCTTATCAAACTATACTAAAGAAAAATATTTAAAGTACATGTAGCATGAGGCCTTAGGAACGTAAACAGTTTCTGCACTTATTTTTTATTTGGTCTATTTTTGGAAATTTTATGAGTGTTAATTTAGAAAACACTTTTAAAACGTTATTGTTTATTTATTTTAAATTTTATGAGTGTTTTTCTCAATCTTGTTATTTAAATTTGCTTTTTAAATCTTTAAGTAGGCATTTTTTATTTACTGTATATATTTATTAAAAATTAAATGTCCCAAAAAATGTTCTTTGATATTATTTAAATATTAAATTATTCATTCAACTAGAAATATGTCCACATGAATGCCCCGCCGAGGATATATTAGTAAAGCAACATGAAAATTGTATGTGCATAAAATTTGATCAGTTTGGTTCAGGTAAGGCTTATAGTTACTTGGGAATGAAAATATAGGTCAGATCCAGCATCCGAAGCAAGTCTGGTTGTGTCCATCCCTAGATGCATCATCCATGCAAGTTTGGTTCAGGTAGAGCTTATAGTTACTTGGGAATGAAAATGTGAGTCAGATCCAGCATCCGAAGCAAGTCTGGTAGCGTCCATTCCTAGATGCATCATCCATGCAAGTTTGGTTCAGATAGGGCGTATAGTTACTTGGGAATAAAAATATAGGTCAGATCCAGCATCCGAAGCAAGTCTGGTAGTGTCCATCCCTAGATGCATCATCGATGCAAGTTTTGTTAAGGTAGGGCTTATAGTTCCTTAGTAATGGACCTGCTCCAAAAACTTTAACCTGGTACTCATCTGGAAAATGTAGGTCAGATCCAGCATCCGAAGCAAGTCTGGTAGTGTTCACCCCTAGATGCATCATTTGTAAAAGTTTGGTTTGGGTAGTGCTCATAGTTCCTTGGAAATGGACTTGCTCCAAAAACTTTAACCTGATCACTCATCTGGAAAATATAGGTTATATCCAGCATCCGAAGCAATTCTTGTAGTGTCCATCTTAAGATGCATCATCCATGCAAGTTTGGTCTAAATAGGGCTTATAGTTCCTTGGGAATAGACCTGCTCAAAAAACTTTAAGCTGGTCACTCATCTGGAAAAAGTAGGTCAAATCCAGCATCCGAAGAAAGTCTGGTAGTGTTCATCCCTAGATGCATCATCCGTGCATGTTTATATCAACATGTGAACTTTGAAAACACCATCTTGAATGGTATGTTTAAAACTGAGCAAAACACTGATTTAAGAAAAGTGAGGTCAAGGTCAAAAGAAAAGTCTAGGTCAAAAAATGTTGATGCAGTTGCATAGCTCTTATCAATGTCTATCAGCATATGAAGTTTGATGAAAATGTCTTGGATAGTTTCTTTGAAACTTAGCTTTGAACAGAGCTAAACACAAAGTGTGACGGAAGGACGGAAAGACGGAAGGACAGAAGACGGACATGACAAACACTATATGCCCCGGCCATATTCATGGCGGGGCATAAAAATAGCAATTTGAGCATAGAAATCGATGTTAATTTTTTATGACAGGGTTGTCCCTAAGTCCTGAGGGTCGGGGAATTTCACCGCCCATAATGCTATTACACCAGGTTATATTCTGGTTCAGCTGTATTACCCCCTGACTCTCTATTAAAAGAAGAACCCCAGACCCTCTCTAAATTTCAATGTCCCCTGCTATTTCAATCTTTAGGGAAAGTCCTAATATAACATAGCTGATTAAAACTTCATTTTTTTCTTCCAAACAGGGCCTGAGGATGAAAAAGATGGATAGGTTCTTCAACAGTATTGCGTCTTTGATGTCCAACTTACTGCGGAGCTGCGTGATTAACTCTATATATGACCTTGTGGACTTGATAGAGTAATACTCTGAGGGATGTCAGTACGATGGAGAATACACGCTGTTCAGTGGGTTAGCCCTGCCCACTAAAATCCACATAGTTCACTTCTTCATGGTAAATGATTGTGTTTGTATAAGTAAACTTTTACACAATGTTCTGTTATATTCACAAATCTGAAGAAATATAAAGGATGAGTAATTTATAATAAAATGCTATCAGTTAAACACAAAAAATTAACTGTTTGTAATAGAAAAGTAAACACGATGGACCAGACTAGGATTTGAACCCGGGCCCCCTGAATCTTCAGTAAGGTGCTCAACATGTACCACTGACCTACATGTATCGGAGATCAAACCTGTCTGACTAACACACTACATCACCCCATTACATAAATATAGTTTAATGCTGAACAGTCATACAGATTTAAAGAATTGCAATCGATGAATTTAATATGTACTTTGATTTGATATTAAGAGTGACCTGTAATGATTTCTTCTGAATATTAAAAGATCTAAAGTGTTCAACTTGAATGTGTAATTCAAATGGATTCACTTTTTAGTGGTCCTACATGTATGCCTTAAAATGGTTTAGTTTTGGAATGAAGAAAAATATTTTAGGATGCAAATATAATAAAAAATTATTTTTAAGTTTAAAACATTAATTCTCTGGGTTTTTCTTTTTCAGCAAGAGAATATAGAGAAAGTAGACATTGATTTCAAGCCAAACTTCTCTGATGTCTGTGATTTCTTCTGCCTGATCATCGATCACATGATCGTCTGCGTCAGAGAGCTGCCGCGGGTTGAACATCTCCTGTTCCAGTCATAGGAGGATCTTCAAATTTCCACCATCAGGAGCGTGATCATTGAGGAAGAGCTGGTGGAGATCGCTAAGGAGAGGATCAGGGTGGTCATCATGGCAAACAGTCATGGGCCAAACACGTAATTATTATCCTCAGAATATAACTATTTACAGGGAAATGTTCACACCTATTATATTTTCGCCCTTTTCTCTCAACCCTTATGTGGGCAAATATAATTGGGGCGAATTCAAAGAATACAGTAGAATTTCTTAAACAAAACCATGACTAAGGGAATTTAAAACTTGCACATTTGTTGGTAATTGTGAAAGGGCGAAAATAACGAGGGGTGAAAATAACCCTGTATATAGTATATTTTTGTGATTTCTAAATTTTTGTCAGTACCTGGCGAAAGAAGATGTGGAGTGTTAAATGAAAACAGTAAAATCAGAGAACTGAAAAGAAGCATATGAAATCTTGAATTTGAAGAAGAAAAAACTTATCCTGCTAGCAATTGTCAGAGGAAATGAAGAAGATTTAACCATTTCACCTCAGAGAATTTTGATGTGCAAAAAATCATATTTTTCTTTTGTAGATACACATCAGTTTATAGTCCATACAAATATCTCATCTCTCTGGAGACCGAAAACAAGGTCAAAAAGTTCATAAGTAAGGAGCGCCCTCTACGGGAATACAGACAGGAAATAGAGAAGCTGAAGAAGCTGATCTCTGCTGTCGGATCACTTCCTGTCGCCATCCCCATTTACCTAGACTGTAACCATATCAACCAGGTAAACAAAATAAAAATGGCGTATTTTATGAAACTATTATGTTAAAGGTCAATGATTGAAAGAGATAGAGAAAGGGAGATAAACCTTTCAAAAGATATATGATTTACTTGTAGTTTTAGTAGGGTCACTTTTTGATGTTTGAGAAAAAATATTGGTGCTTTGTGGGGATTTGATTTCGTGGTTGAGAAATGTTTTACTGGAAGTGCATATGAATTAAATTTTACATTTCATGGTTGTCATGAATTTAATAGTCTGTTGCAACCACTATTGAAATAACAATCACTATTGAAATAATTTAAACAATAGTGGTTGAGAGTGCATTTCAATAGCAAACATAGTTAGTAACCACTATTGAAATACGACCACTATTGAAATAGTTATATCAATAGTGGTTGAGAGTGTATTTTAAATAGCAAACATAGTTAGTAACCACTATTGAAATACGACCACTATTGAAATAGTTATATCAATAGTGGTTGAAAATGCATTTCAAAAGCAAACATAGTTAGTAAAGTTTCACAGCGTCAGCAAATTCTTTAATAAATATTTCAATAAATATTGCACTTATTGTTTGATGCACTATTAAAATTAATAATTTAATACATATTGAAATTTAATTTCAAAAGTGAACATTATTTCAATAGTGGTTGTAACCTTTGTTTGTTATTGAAATGAATGTCATCCATTTTTTAAAAAATTACCGGTATTTCAATAGTAGTCGTATTTCAAAAGTGGTAACTATCTATGTTTGTTATTGAAATGCACTCTCACCCACTATTGAAATAATTATTTCAATCGTGGTCGTATTTCATAAGTGGTTATTACCTATGTTTGTAATGGAAATGCAGTCTCAACCACAATTGAAATAATTATTTCAATAGTGGTCGTATTTAAATAGTGCTAATTACCTATATTTGTTATTGAAATGCAGTCTCACCCACTATTGAAATAATTATTTCAATAGTGGTCGTATTTCAGTAGTGGTTGTTACCTATGCTTGTTATTGAAATACACTCTCAACCACTATTGATATAATTATTTCAATAGTTGTTGTATTTCAATAGTGGTAACTAACTATGTTTTCTATTGAAATGCACTTTCAACCACTATTGATATAATTATTTCAATAGTGGTTGTTTTTTCAATAGTGGTTGCAACAATGATCTCTCCCTTCCTCGAAAAACCCCAAAATTTACTCGCAATGAAATTTAGTGTTTCACAGTATTTTATATTGATGATCATTTGATTCATATTTACAGTGGCTGATCAAAAGGGCCAGGTACTTCATTGATATTATGATGACCAACATGGCCAACATGAGCCGGGACTTCAACAAGGGGATATGTAAGCAGTATGACACGATTGTGAAGAAGGTGGCCCAGCAGGCCGAGAATACAGAGGAACTGGTCCAGATGCAGAACTATGTAGAGAACCTTAAAGTGGGGGAACTGCTGCAGCTTAAGGCAGGGGGACTTCCTAAAAGAAGGGCAATAACTGTGGAAAAAAATAGTAGTGAGACAAATTTTTCAAGAATTTGAGTTATTGTTGGAAATGATTCATACATGTCAGATTTAGATTAAAATATATTTAAGAAGAAATTATTCATAAGCAGACTATATTGCATAATTAAATGACAAAATCTCATAAATTAAAGTGATTTTTAAAGTGGAGAACTGTTGTGCAAAATGTAGAGACCCATATATAGGGCATTTGTGGAATTTTCTACACATTAAAATCAGTAAAACATCACCATTGAATTTCTTCAGGACAAACAAGAAGTAGCAGGACAGAACTTGATGTTTTTGTTAGACTATACCTATCTATCTACCGCTGATATATCTACAAACAACACCATG